TTAGAGTAGAACAAGCAATATTCTGAGGCCATTCTCTAGCATGCATTTTATGTATGTGCATGCATGTGCACATATACACTTGTGCAGTTAGGACTTTTAGTATGAGAGACAGAGAGTACTTCCTTATTTGACATGCTTTCTCAAGAACAACCATTGTCTCATGTCATTGTCTGTAGGCAGGAGAACAGAAGAACATGATAATCAATAATCATTGATCCCAAGACAGTGGGAGCTTGTGCTGCTGGTAGGATTTGCAAGCTTAAAAAAATATAATTAGTTCAAAAACTCTCACTGATTGGTTACATGGGGACATTACTCATGATTATGCAGTTTTAAAAGGGTTAGGGTTAGGGCGAGAAAAGGTGTTTATAATGGTTGGGTTTGCATGACTGGGAAAGGAAAGAAAGCCACTGTGGCTTTTTTTACTCACCCTGAATATGCTGGCCACACAGTGCTTATTTTATTTACTTTACCTGTGCCATCTGAAACCCATGTGGTGGCTTCTAAACCACCCTGGAACTTTAAATCAGGCCATGGGTTGTGGAGTGGTTTAAAATTCATCTTCACTGCCAACCTCATCAGCTTCAGATGACAGAGTCAACCATGTAATTATAGAAATGAGTCGGTGCCTGAGCAACATACAGGGATGTGGTAACATGGGGTGTGGTATCATATCCATCATATCAAGCCATCATATCTTCTTTTCATCTATGATCCCGCAAACCCAGTCAAAATGGTAATTAGGAAAATGAGGTAGTGCAAGACTGGCACGCATAGGATGTGGTAAAAAAAAAAAAGCCACATTCCATTAAAATGGAATTAAAAAGCAACTGTTTAAAAAGCAACAATTCAATCACTGAAAGGATAATATCATTATTAGAAGTAAAAGTCAACAAACTTTGTAGGACTTTCCAGGCTGGGTGTGATGTTCAACAAAATAGCAAAGGGTAGTAAGTAGTTTGGCGGTTGGAAGAAAAGCTTTTGTGTTGGCCAAGGTGTAATTTCAGAAGTGCAGAAATGCCACTTCAAAACCTTTCTGTCATGATTCAGGACATCGTGTGTATAGGATGGAATCATGGTATGTATGTGAGAGGGGAACAGTTCACATTTGTGCTGGACCTTGTGACTTGCAACAATAGCAAATCTTTATTGAGTAATGGGATTTTTCACATTTATTTTTTTTTTAACTTTTATACCACCTAATAGTCAAAACTCTGGGTGGTTTATAGCATTTCCTAAATAACAGCACGGTATAATAAAATGACCATATTTTTTCATAGCACAGAATTTAAATAATATTTTAAAAAATTAAAATACTCAGGCAACTGAAAACAATCTTTACTGTATTATATACAAATCAGCAAGCCATTAGATGATCTTAGATATTTTAAATGCCTCAGCAAAAGGACTGTTTTAACCTGGTACCAAAACAATGACAAAGTTAGCACCAGCACATCTTAGTGGGGGAAATCATTCCAAAGTTACACCATTGAGAAGGCCCTCTTGTTTCCACCCTCTGAGCCTCCCTTAAAGATGCCAGTTGGAGGAAGTCCTCAAATGTTGATTATAGCATACTGCTAGATTGCAGTTGGGAGAAGTGTTCTATCAAATATTACAGTCCGAAGCTGTGCAAGTCTGTATAGGTTAAATGTAGCACCTTGAATCAGGCTCAGGAGCATACAGGAAGCCAGCTGTGTCCCAGAGTTCAAGTCAGCTGCCCACATTATCTCTTGTGTTCCAAAGACTGATCAAGGCTTCAACAAGAGTGCTAGCAGATCAGCAGAAAAACCCTCTAGAGCCTTCTGTAAGCTATCCAGATCCATTAGCCTCTGGGGATGTTGTTGTTAGTCGGGAAGTCGTCCGACCCATCCTGACCCCATGGACAACATTCCTCCAGGCCTTCCTGTCCTCCACTGTTGTCGTCCCCCCTCCGCTTCAGAACACCACCCCTATGTCTCACTGAGAAAACCTTGACTATAGTGTGCCCTGTTGCATGTGTTGGGCCAGTTACATGTTAGGACAACCCATGGCTTTCCTGGAGTTCATAAACTCCTGAGCTGCTGCAGACAAGATGCCCTTGACATAAATGTTGACATCCCCCAAAACCAACAGCCTGAGAGACGCCCAGCATCAGGTCTAAAACAATCTCTGCCAGCTCAGGTAGGGTCAAGATGGGCAATACACTAGGAGAGTTTCCAGTCTGTCTTTGCTGGCCCAATGCAAGATGCAAACACTGCATACTACTAGTCAGATGAACAGGGCACCTGGAAAGAGAGATATAGTTCTTATCAACCACAGCAATCCTCCTCTTCTGCAGCCCTCAAGCCTACCCTAATGTACACCAGTGAGCACAGCTGAGAGATTAACTCCTCTCTGTTCGCTCACCCAGGTCTCATTTATACATTCCAGTTCAGCTGCTTCATCCACCAAGTTAGGTGATGAGAAGAAACCTCCAACTCCCACTTCAAAGAAACAAGTGAGGGGAGGATGTGGATGACCTTAGGCCACTTAGGGCAAGGGCTTTGATTACTGGGAAAGGTTCAGTAAGTGGTTGGGGGTCCCACCAGCAACAATATACCAAGGACACAGTGGCGTCTGCTGCCAGCCTTGCATATGAAGGACTTCTTAGATTCATTATGCTTTATATTTCTCATGTCAAAAACTTACCAGGATGATATTCTCCTTTTTCTGTAATGATGAGAACAATTACTACTTGAGTGAATTGGCACATACTAAAGAAACTCTTATGGGCCAGAAACTCTCCAAAAGAATAGCTTTTAAATGCCCTCCTCATGCAGAAATGCAAAATCAGGTTTAATTGCTTTGTTCCTATTCTGTTCAGACAATCAGTCTCCTTTTGGTACATAGTAAAAGAGAATAATCATAGCAAGAGCTAAGGATTGTTTGGCTCTAGCAATCACAAAAATTACACACACACCCACCATGAAAGGAAAGGTGGGGAGTGCAATCAGTTGAAAGAGCTGAACTTTTGCAGGCATGCTGATATATCCTACCTACCAAGTCAGGTTTTTTAAGATGTCACTTTTTGTTAAAAAAAAAAAAAAAGGAACTTCTGGCAGTATCAGTGGTGAAACCCAGAATTTTAATATTACGAAAGTTTTCTGCTACACCTTTCATTAACTTTTGTGGATATTTGGTCTTAAGGCAGATAATTTCCTGTTGCTTTTTACTCTTCTCACCTAGTTCAGGACCACTTACTCAGCACCAAGGAGAACTTCCCACTAATCCTCCTTTACCATGCAGTGACTTGGTTCTTCATTTGATGTACAACTTAAAATTTGATGCACTTTAGACCTTCAAGAAGTTTATGCATATACATTATAGGGTCCATCCTTACACAGGCACTGCAGGAATTCCTCCCTCCTCATGTTTGTTCAAACAACTGGTGTCATTACTGCTAGTAAATCTACTTCATTTCCAGTTGTTGGGAGAAGCAGTGTTAGAGGAGGTGTTTGCTGATCGTTTCAACATCAGGAAAAAGATGTTAAAATGGGGATATTAGAACATCTCAGTCTTAATACACCATCACCCTGAATGAAGTCTTCAAATGCTGCTACACTGAAAGAAAGCAAGTTTCAGAAAATGAACTCTGTAAAAGTATTTTTGTTTGATGCTTTTAAAGGCTGAGCTGCATGTGTTTACTCATATTTGTTTTTATGTAACAAAATGATTCACCACAATTGTGGATCTTGCTTAAGCAAATTCAGTGTAGTCCAAGTCCATTTTAAAAGATTTTTATTATCTTCATCTGTGATTATTCATGTATAAAATGTTCATTTTCTTTCTTAAAGCAACCTATTCTATATGTATGTGCCAAAAGCTTGTTCGGTTGGAAACCACTGAAAGTAGTATTCATATTTTCATTTTTTGCTGATCTTTTTATCCAGATGTTTTCTTGCTTCAGGAAGTAGATTCAGGGCATTGAATCTACTCATCATCTTGACACTGATGTGATTGTCTTCAAGGTGACATTCCACCCAGTGTCTTCATAAGCTGGTGTTATGTAACTGTGAAAATGGCTTTTGATAAAACGATTATATATGATTAAAGTGTCTGGAAGTTGTTTTGAAACTACTGAAGCAGTAGCTACGAATTGTGAAGTTTGCCTCTACTATAAATGCTTGAGGGGGGATATTATTACTAATGTGTTTGAGGCAAGGAAATAATAGTCAGTGCTATCTTTCTCAAGCACATGATAATCAATCCCATGTATATACTTAACACAGTCCAAACATACACAAGGATTTGGAGTCATCTATTAGGGACTGCAGGTGGCGCAGTGGTTTAAACCCTAATACCCTCTTGAACCCTAATACCTTTATTGCCATTGCAATGCACACCCAATCCCACAGTTCTTTTTCTGGTCTGATGGATTTTGGGGCTTCCCCAAAGGCTCCTTGGAGCTAGTTGTGTCCTTCAGTGTAAGGCCTAACCAGGGTGAAGCAGAAGACACCAAAGCAACTTGGATCTCACCTTAAATAGGAAAGGATGCTGAATTCTGATTAGGAATATATGCCACTTTTATGCTTGACCACTTTCTATTACATAGGCTCAAAAAATTGTATTCTAGAGTAGAATAATAAGTAACCCTTTAAGTCATAGTAACTTCACAAGGCAAATTGGTGAGGGCTTTTGAGAAGCCAACCCTTGAGTTGCCTTCAAGTCAACTTTGAAAATCAGCTGAAGTTGATGAGCTGTTAGTGGCTCTTCTTAGCAGCTTCCATGTGATAAGCCATTAATTGGGGGTGATGAGAGTGTGGCATTGTCAGACTACTAAAGACTGGCCTAAAGTGGTATTTGCAAAATTAGAATGAAAGATGAGTTACCTTTAAAGTGACTTTTTGACAATTACTCAGGGCATCCCATCATGAATGGACAAATGTAACATAGTCATCCTGTTGCCAGATTTAAAGTGCCATATCTGAAAAGTTGTAAAGGCAAACTGCAGTTAACATTCTTTTTTCTTTGTTTCTCACCAGAAAATATCAGAAGGGATCCAAAGTCCTCCTGAAACTTACTGACATTGAACTCTCATCTAGATTCCTGGGAGCAAAAACAGATACAACTTTACTGGAAGCTGATGCAGTGCTCTTGAGACTTGTAGAAGGCAGAGAAAGTAAACAAACATAGTAAATACATGAACTCCTGTATATATTCACTTGTGACTACATTTTAATGAGTCTAGATGGCTTATTTGACCGCCATGTTAAAGTATTTTTTCAGCCACTGTTATCTGGTTGATAAGGTGAATTGTAAATGTAATTTGGTTCTTAATCTCTGTTTCACTGATTTTCTTTTCTTTTCATGTTATATCATTCACACATCTTAAAAAAAAGTGTCCAAGCTGATCACTGTAGTTTTGTTGTAAGGCAGCTATGAAACCTCCCAATTAATAACTATTCTCAGGGAGTCTCAGCAGTTTCTCACTGAGTAACATTTCTGGCTGGTGATTCCAAGAAACAGCACCATCTGGGGCACGAAGCAATGAACCAGGACAGAGATAGGTGGGATTTTGGGCACTTGGGGCCATGTTCCAGATTGCATCCCCACAGATGTTTTTCCTCTGAAATAAGTCAGACTACACATGCTTTTTAAGAAGTGTGAATAATGTAACATATAGTTTGGCCCCCATCAGAGTTATGAAGACCTTTAGTGCACAGTGCTTTTGAAAGGAATTATGCCAGAACATTAACATTCATTTTATTGAGACATACCTTACGTAAGTTCGTGCTGGATTGTGTCCTGTATCTTTAATCAAATTACATCATTTTAAAGAGATTTACATTTGGGCAATTTTTGCTTGAAGGATAGCAAAGTCTATAAATTATTTTTTCCACCTGGAGGACCAGTCTGTTGAAAAGTTCTGTGTTGTTTCTTGAGATCTTTACTTGAGCATTTCTATTAAAAGGAGGGTAAACAAGTTTTAAATGGACTGATGTTATCAAGGGTAATTGTGACTCTTAAGAAAAGCTGCAGCTCTAAATATTTCTCACAGCATGTTCTGAATAATAAGATGTCTTTAAAAATAACATGCTTGGAATGGCAGCATGTTTTAGCATATTCTTCATTGTAACCAATAATAAGAGGTTTGTTTGTCAGATCGGAAATGCTCAAAGCAAAAGACCAAAGAAAAGAGAGCTGGAGGTAGAATCTTTGAGCTTGTCTGTCTGCTTTAAATTGCGCTCTCATCACAATGTTATTTATTAGGAGAGTTTGAACATGAATTTCCCAGGATTTTAGCCTCCAGTAAAAGCACTGCTATTGAAATGAGCACTAAGTTTACCCGTATATATCCCACTGGGGGAAAAGGACAGCTTAAAGATTTTGAAGATTAAGATTTTGTTTCTCTGTCAGATGTTCCATACAAAATATGATAGCAATGCTTATATGGTATGTGATTCTAGTATTGTTAGGAAGTCTTGCTGTTGAAACACTGATGCTGTTATATTCAAATTATTTCAGATGTAGTTGAGTTGACATTGATTCCAAAATAGAACCAATTTGGAACAAGGAGGGCACACATATATTAATAAAATGGAATAAATCATAGGCTTGGTTTTGTCTTGTTTTGGTTTTGTTCAGTTATGTTCCTAGTTTGTGGCAATTTTTTAAAAGTGTATTTGATTATGCTTTATGTAGTCTAGTGATAAAGACTAAACTACATTGTTTCAGAGTTGGTGGACATGTTTTGCTCCAATATAACATTGGCCTCAAGTGTAATGGTTTATTTTCCCCATAGCAGTAGGTGGCAGTTATTAACTTATAGGTGAAAAATAAATAAAGGGGCATACTAAGAAATGCATGTCTGTCTGCCATGGCCCAAACCATTCTGTAGACTGACAGCTACTTACTGTGTAGCACAGAACTAAGCAGTATGTTTAACATTGTTCTAGGATTCTAGTTTTTTCTCTTGGCTTAAGGGTGAGGGGTCCAAGGAATTTACTTTTGTTGGGATGCTTAATGATAAACTAGAGGTTTGAAATTAAGGCTACAATCCAGTGCATGTTTAGACAAAAAAGTCCCCAAACTCTCAGCATTTCTAAACCAGTAAGGCTGACTGGGAATGCTGGGAGTTGTAGGCCTTTTTTGTCTAAACATGCATAAGACTGTGCTTGAAATCTCACTGGAAAATCATACACACAAATAATACTAAGAGCCACTGTGGTGTGGTGGTTAGAGTGTTGTACTGGGGACCTGAAAGATCAGGGTTCTAGTCCCTACTCAGCCATACCTGTGAGCTAAGACCAGAATTATAGATTACATTAGCAAATGAATAGCTGCAGACCATGGCTTTTTCTGAAATAACAGATGCTGCAGCTAAGAGAGAGTACTATTAGAGAGGAATGTTCAATCCTTCCCATGTTCACTGAGACTTGCCAATTATCATCCTGCCTCACTTTGAATTTGGAGACTTGTTGGAAGAAAAATACAGTGTGTTTGTGTGTGTGGGGGGGAGGGGAGTTATGGGCAGGAGATGGCATGTGGGGAAGGCTTAGACTCCTTTCTTTCTTCCCATTCCCCCTGTAACCTTCCACAATAATATTATCATCCTGTAGATTGGATCCAACATCACATAAGTGGAAGTCCACTTGCACAGTAGGATTTTCTCATTCTTTTTTCTGTGCCTGCCACATACCTGTTTCAGACAGTCCCCCAACACTCTGAAGGAGATTTGGGGGATGGAGCGAGAGAGGATATTCATTCTGCCAGCAGTTTCCCAATCTAGTAGTGGAATGGCACTACTGGATCCAACCCATTTCCCCCCCTCTTATGACAGATTAGAGGGTGTTCAGTCTGTCAAGGAGCAGCTTCATAGCTCATGGTTCTGGAGCCATTTTTGTCACTTGAGGCTTAGATGGTACACCATGCCCTTGAGACCACCTGTCAGCTTCAGTTGGTGGCCCAACTGTTCTGCTAACTGGACAGGGACAACCTGACTTCAGTTGTTTATCCTCTGATAACCTCAGCATTAGATTACTGTGAAATGCTGTATGTGGGGTTGGCTTTGAAAAGTGGTCAGAAGCAGCAACTTGTGCAAATGCAGGACCTAGACTGAGAAACAGGGACAAGAAGTTCTGAACATATAAATTTTGGCCTGCTTTCACTGGTTGCCAGTATACTTCTGAGTCTTATTCTGGGTGCTTCTTTAGTTCCATAAAGCCACATGTGGCTCAGGATTGATTGACTGACTGTCTTTCCCAATATGAGCCTACCCATATACTACAGGTGGAACCTCTGAGGCTGATTCAGAAGATAGAAAAAAGAGAGAAGGGTTCCTCAATGATGGCCTCCAAATTGTAGATCATTCTCCCCAGGGAGTTCCACCTGACACCAACATGTATCTTTCTGACACAAGGCCAAGGTTTTATCCAGGCATTTGGCGGCACATGATAATATTTCCAACTTGGGTCCTGATTTTTTAAATTGTTGATTATTATTACTGTTAGGTGTGTGAGTATGCATGCATTCTTTGCATGTTTCTCTAAACCATTTTTAATAGTATGTACAATATTGCATGTTTAAGGTTTTTTAATCTTTGTAAACCATCCAGAGAGCTTGGGCTATTGAGTCACTTAGGAATCTAATAAATGAAAAAGTACAAGTAATGTATTTTTATTGTTATCTAGAGTTGAGGGTAAATACATATATCTTTATTAATGTATACATATAATACACTAATATTTAAATACATGTAAATATTCTTGTGTAGTAACACTGGATTCTGTCTGGTTCAATCAGAATTAAGCATGCTTTCATGAGAAAGCTGGCTATTTTCAGCGAACTTGAAATATAAAATCAAAGAAATCAACTTCCTAAATAATCAGTGATATGTGTAAATGTGAATCTAAATATTACTGTTCTCTAATGGGTCAATAATCATATTTGTAATCAATTAAAATATGTCTGGACACCTTTTAAACTTACTGGGAAGTTTATCTCCTGTACAAAAGGATGCAGGGGTAACATACTGCTTCCGATGGAGGGTTTCCTATTTGAGTACAATGATAAACTATTAAGCCAGCAACTGGTAGAATGCCAAAAACTAAATAATAATAATAATAATAAATGTTGGCCTGCTAGGAAAAATTTAGATGTTATTGCATTTTGAAACCTGTTTTGCTTTAGTTGCTTCTTAGTGGTGCAGTATTCAACATTTTACTTGTTTAAAGAAGTAAACTTTCAAAGTGCTGTCATCTCAGCATTCTATTTTCTCTTTATTAATAAGCAACAAGCTTGCACAGTGAATGGCTGTGTTCTACCTTCTTGATGTTCAGAGGGCATTGTTAATATGTCTTCAATGGAAGAGCCATATGGTTAGGAGGTCTAATAATGTAAAAATGGTGTATCATGTCCACTGCAAAGCCTGGAACCTATTTCATTCATGGAAGTTTAATTGGCTTGGATCCAGAGAAAAACATAATAGGGATGGTGGAAGCCAACTTTACTGCTCCTTCTACTCCAAGTCCTTCTGAAAGTACTCCACAGAAGTTGAGGGACCTTCTGCATGCAGTGAGTTATGGTGGGAGGGACTGAGACAAAATGGGGGATTCCCGAAAATTGGGTAGAGGCGACTTCTGCGAAGAAAGATCGCACACAGAAATGGCCTTTGCCTGATTTTCAGAATCTCCCTTCAGCCTTCCTTGACACAGCTCACTCCATTCTATGATGTTGGTATTTTTTTGTGTGTGGGTGGAGGAATGGGTGGGGAAGACAGATTCCATCAACTCCATGTATTTCTCCAGATTCAACCTTCTGTGTAAAATAATATCACATACAAAGTACAGGCACTATTGTTAACATTACTGACACTACTCTGGCGGTGAAATTATCTCATAAAACAATCCTGATAGATATGAGAAGAGATATCTGGAGGATTAAGTACAACTTGGTCTTTTTATGTATGCAAATAAAGTAAAATTTGCTTAACTTTTATTTCTGGCAGTGTTTCTGCACCCTTAATAGATGCATTACTTGCAAAGCTTTTCCCATCTGTGTAAGCATCAGCTGCCAAAGCTTTGCTTGTTACACATATTGTTACCCATCACAAACACTCATGCGCGTACACATACACACACATGTAGAAACCCTAGTTCCACGCTTAGTACCCAATATTTCATCCTTCCCTAATTTGGTGCCCCACATCTGTGTTGGACTGTTACTTCCATCGTTCTTCTTCGTGGTCTCTGCATCACACACACATGGGCTTTGCTGAACAGCGCAAGGCCTGGATCAGAGAGAAACTTCCACTGCTCAGCATCATGGAGTGAACAGGAGTCTTGTTGTGGTTTGATAACCTTGATTAAAGGGCTAAACATGGAAGAGTCAGTGTGATATAAATAAATAGGTAGACTACCTGGGCTATTTGAGGTGTTTTGGAGTACAGTTCTCATCAGTTCAGCTGATGCTTAACTGGCGCTGCTGGGACTTGTAGATCAAAATATGTTGAAGGCACCAGGTTGGATAAGGCTAGGTTTGAGTATTGGCCAGGTTGGGTATTTTAGGTGAGGGGAGAGGGTTTCAGGTATAAGTACCCATTATGAAGGGCCAGTCATTGTGTCTTAGCATGACTTACCTGACAGGGTCATTGTGAGAATAGAATAAATAGTGAATATTATCCCCAACGCTTTTGTTTTGACAGTAATGAGACTAGTGTAGGGCTGGGAAGGCCTGTTTGCATCTGGGGCAGCCCCATGAATTGGGCTGAGAGGAATGCTAAAAGTTCAAGATCTCTGCATCCCCATGTTTTGCCAAACAAAGCAAGCTGTCTGGCAGCTTTGCATGAGCCAGAGCTGTGAAAGAGCAACGGTTGCTTGGAATCTCTCTCTGCTGTGCCCTTTGCCCTTTGGGCTGTAGCTTCCCTGCACACGCTGGATCACAGGGGAGCTGAAGTTTCATTTACCGATTGAGCAACTTTGAAAAAAAAAGCCCCTGTCCCCAATTAGTGTTGCAAGTTGTCCAGATCAATGGTGGGTTAAACTGAGCTGCCCACTCAAGTGGGGGGCGTAGCAGGCAATAAAAGGAGAGGAAAGAGCGGGTGTATGTGTGTGGGGGAAATGCTTGCATCTCTTTCAAGGGGCTGGATTCTTTCAAGCGAGCTGGATTCTTGTGTGAAAAACAACTGCCACAATACTTAAGTTGTAACCTTCTCACCCCTGACGGCATGGGAAAGTGTACTCCTCAGCTGTTGGTGGGGGGGAGAGGCCGCTGTAGTCATGAGAAATTTTGATAAAAAATGCAGCTTCGAGCTTGCCCTCCTCTTTTGCACATGTCATCTTGCCTATCAAACGGCTTAATTGGAAAATTAGTCGTGCTTTTCATTTAGAGCCCTGAAAGTTCAAGTGCCAATAATTTCTCAGGGGCTGCCCCCCCCCCTCTGGTTTTGTTTGATTTGCAAAGGACATATTCATTGTGGGGTGCAGAAGGAACCACGCTACAGCAGAAAAAGAACTATTTTTAATAATTTTTAAAATAATAACACTATTTGCAGCAAAAGAGTTTGTGCCCTTCTGTTTTCATCATGATAGCTTACAATATTCTAGTACAACAGT